CCCCCGACGCTCGTGCTTGGTGGCGCACACGGATTTTTCCGAGCGCTGCCGTCGGCCACGGGCTTCTTCCTCGGCGTCGAGGCCGTAAGCACCGCGGCGGACGACGTACAGAGCCCCCGCGCCACGATTCCAAAAGGCCAAGGCTACGGCATGCTGACGTCTTTGTGACGGGTGTGCTCTCGGGTGTCTTTTGCAGCGGTGTCGCAGCTACCACCGACTCGGGTAGAACGTTCCCACTGAAGTGGCCCTCACAGTTCCGTAGGGTTTATGGCCATGTTCTCCATAAGTGAGCAAACGGCTTGCGTGTTGTCGATTCCGGGGGCGATCTCGACGGCGTTTGGCTGTATGTTTGCCTTCACTAAGCTCCTCACGGCCATCTCCAAGTCCAAGCTCATTCCTGCGGGCTTCCACCGTCAATACTTTATCTACAAAACCCCCGCCGTCGCCTTGACCACCGGCACACTCGTTGCCTATTGCATCTGCCTCATCGTATACTACATCCCAAGCGTCATGAACTATATCTTCAACGTGTGCTGCCTCAGAGCCATGACCGCATACTCGACGCAGTGCTATGGCTACATATACGTCAAACGCCACTTCAAGCACATCGAGCGCCGCTACAAAAGTCCGTTTGGCGTTCCTGGCGCGATCTTCTCGATGGCGGTCTGGAGCCTCGTCATCCGTGATTGGCTTCCAGGACGACAACGGCATCGCGCTCTGCAGCTACGTTATCGTCGTAGGCCTCGCGTTAGCCTACTACCACGCCTACGGAAAGCACCACCAGAGCTTCTCGGACGAAGAGAAGGTGCTCTTCATCACCCACGTCGCCAAATGTACGTCATCCGTGGTATCGATCATGTAAAGTGACATGTGTCTAGTCAACGCCGGCAAGCGGTCCAAGCCGTCGACGCAAAAGTCAGCCAGCGCAGTGTCGAGCAAGCCGTCAGCCAAGACCCGGCGCTCGATCATCAAGGTCGAGGTGTGCACCAAGTCGAGCACAACCGGCCAAGGCTCTGCGGCGGGCAGTAGCAAGGTCGCCGTGAGTGCGGTTAGCGAATCAGCGTCCAAGGACATTGCGATATGAATGCGTGAATTCGACCTCGGTGAGAGGATTGAAGATCGAAGAAAAGCATTGCATTGGTCAACGACCTTGGATGTGGTAGACGG